ATACAAACACTCTAAGCAAAGAAAGCAATTTAGGGAAAGGTATTGCAAATATGACTCCATTTTTTTTTTAATCTAGAAAGAATAAAAACAAAGCTGTTAACTCTGGTCCCTGGTGCTTGAATGGAGAAAGAATTTTCACTCAATATAGATTTTTTTTGTAACATGTAATTTTTTAACACAGCATGTATCATTTTTGTAATAAAAATATACAGATCTGGAGGGGAAAAGAAAATAAATGAAAATATGTCTCCTGACCAGAAGGAATTTACAACCTGGGCGGTGAACAAGGACTCAGCAGCCTGGGAATGGCTTAACATAGCAACAAGCAAACAAGAGAACAGGGTGATCTGCTTGTACATTTTATATGGGGTGCAGAAGAAAGAACTMCATCTGATGTGGATGGGGCTGATGGGACAGAGTTCCTGTGGAAGTTGACTGAGCTAGCTGTGAAGCACAGTGCAGCCTCTGTATCTGAGGGATCTGAATCCAAGCCAGCTAACCCTGGATTGAAAATATTCAGGGGGAAAATTACATCTGTATTGCACAAGTCCAGATTTTTTTTTTTTTTTTTACTTATCATTATTCTCTAAAGACTACAGTATAGGCAGGCATGGTGGCAGACCTGTAATTCCAGTGACTTGGGAGACTGAAGCAGGAGGATAGCAAGTTCTACACCAGCCTTAGCAACTAAGCGAGGCCTTGTCTCAAAATAAAATATAAAAAGATTTTGGAGATGTGGCTCAGTTGTTWAAAACCCCTGGGTTCAATCACTGAAAGGAAGGAAGGAAGGAAGGACGGCAGGGAGGAAAGAAAAGAAAAAGAGAGAAAGAGAGTACACTGCTATTTAAATAGTGTTGGCATCCTTTGGGGTATTATAAATAATCTGGAGATTATTCAAAGTATAAAGGAGGATGTAYATAGTTTATATGCAAATATTATGCCATTTCATATGAGGAATTTGAGCATTTGCAGATTTTGATATCTACAGGAGGTCCTAGAACCAATCTCCTGAACATGTAGACAGAAAACTACATACTTCAAAGTGGTCACCATTTATTATTATTTTCAAGTTATCAGGCCACGTGACAAAGCATTTTACATGGCCAGACGTGGTGGCACATGCCTATAATCCCAGTGGCTTGGGAGACTGAGACAGGAGAATCATGACTTCAAAGCCAACCTCAGCAACTATGAGGCGMTAAGCAACTAAGTGAGATCCTGTCTCTAAATGAAATACTAAAATAGGGCTGGGGAATGTGGCTCAATGATTAAGTACCCCTGAGTTCAATCCCCGGTATCAAAAAAAGTATTTTACATGGATATTTTCATGTATTCATAAGCATTTTATAACACAGATATGTTCCCCATTTTGCACATAAGAAACTTGAGGTTGAGAAAGCTAATTAACTAATTAACATTTCTAAAAGCAAACAGCAAATTCCTAAAGAGGACATTTAATAACATAGGTTCATGTCAACCAAAACCCTGTGCTCCAACCACTTGCCCACACTGCCTAAATTGAGGACCAAAAGGAACGGCTTCTTCTAAGAGGGGTAAACAGCTTAAGGTGCCCAAACCCGAAATGTGCTGTAAATGCTCATGAGAAAGGTCATCTGCACTCCCTTACTTAGGCTCAATACTTTTCAGGGCTATGGTCCTGGAAGGATATTTGATAAGAAATAAAGGCAAAGATCCAACCTGCCTTTGCTTGTGGCAAGGTGCCTCCAGTAATAAAGAAGGCAAAGAAGAATCTGAAAAGATATGCCATGCTGCCCAGGGGGACACAATGACATTTATGCCCATATCCTAAGGCCACGTGTACTCTGTTGCAATGGCCCGTTAGCTACCGCAGGGCAGATGCCACATCCCAAACTCAGCTCTGTATATCCCCAGCTTGTCAGTGCCTGGCACTTGTCAGGAGCTCAGTGATTCTGGAAAGAATTAATGAATGAAAAAAAAAATGGATGAGTGTATAAAAATTTAAATATCTACCACCATCATATGCTGGTGTCCTGGTGCCAAAAAAAATAGGACCCAATAGCACCTTCCTCAAGACTGACTTCCCACTCCTAAGATTATTAAACGGGCTAACGGTGCAAAAAGTTTAGCACATTTCCTGTAGAGCACACACGCAACGTGAATGGCGGCTATTAGCATTACTGCTATTTATACATTCTTCATAAGAGTTGACCCCTTGGGATGGGTCCCCACTATTTCATTTATTCCCTGTTCACCACCATCTTCAACAGGGTTGGCACCAAGGAAAGTTATTTGTCTCAGTAAACATGGCTTCCCTGCTCTGGGCCCTCCCCACCTTTGGCCACAACTGTCTTTTCACTCTCAGCTGCCATCCCATATGTCCCCACACAAGGGGACGTGCCACCTGTACACAGGCTCATCAACATTTACCCTCCCGGGGTAATGCACAAGGCTCCCTAGTCTCTCCTGTTTCCCACTTTGTCAAGTCTAGTTTCTTAGGCCCTTCAGATGCAGTGATGCAAACAAGCCCATCACCATGGACAAAGACAACCCACTCCCATGGTGGGATTCTAAGTGTTCACACGCCATAGCTGCATCCCGGGTGGGGCCTTCTGTGTGGTGCCTTAATTCAAAGGACTCTCTTCAGTGGTGGGACACAAACCTAACGACCTGGCCCTTGTTACAAATCAGACCAAATCAGACCATTGCCATCTGCCTCACCACAGCAAACCTCTCTGAATTGAGAAAAGAGGCCAGCACTTGGAGTTAGCATTTACACTTCAGGTATGGGTGACTCCTGTTCCCAGATTAAATCCCTGACTACCTCAGTCCTGCACCAGAAGCCCAGTCATCTCCCACCAGCTACCACCACTGGGTTGCTAAGCAGAGAAGACTTGGGTTCCCTGAAAATAGGCAAACCTCATACAATCAAGAAGGTGAAGTGCTCCAAGAGGGAAATACAAGCATAACCCAAAATCAAAGATAGGAATTCTTTTGTGCCATCACCTGTGGAATTTTCAGCTACTCTCAGATCTTCATTGTCTCCATATGCAAAACGGTTGGTCTTGACAAGTGCTAACCACCCCCATTCAGATATCTAGGTATGCTCAATCTTCATTCAATAAATAAACTCAAAGATGATCCCACAGATCAGGTCCTTGGGAAACTCACAGTCTGACAGAGGAAAATAAAAGTTTTTACACCACAGGCTGGGTGGCAGGGTTCAGATGTGGCTTAAAGATACAAAATATTCTGTAAAGTGCAATCCCATTTTTAATATGCAAATGCATATATGCAACAGAAAAAAAAATCTGAAAGTTTATGTGCCAAAATGTGATTTTTTTCTACATTGCAGGGTTATGCTTGCTTTTTAAAAATATTTTTCTTCCTTTTGCATTTTCCCATCTTTTCCAAAAAAGGTATTACTGATAGCATCTTTTTATTTCAAAAACATATTTTGTATTCAAATAATTTAAATCTTAGCTATATTGCAAACATTCTGTGTGACCTGGGGCAAGCCACTTACCCTCTCCAAGTCTTGTTTGCCTTATACTTAAAATGGAAATGGTTTTTAATTTGATATTGTCATAGAATGTTTTTGGATCTCAAATTCAGAGGAATGAGTTAATCATGTTTCGGGATTCATAACATCTCATCCTCATCAGTCTATGGCAGACTCTCTTATTTTAATGATTTATTTCCTTTTATTCCCATTCTCCATTCCCATGTCCATCTGCCTTTACCCTTGGGCAAACATTCTGTATTTAACATGTCATTTTGATTTGAGAGTGTTTCTACAAAATGCTTATGGTTGTGTGGTGAATTACTTAAGTGATATTATGTCATAAATCTCATTCTATTTCCTCCTTTTTTTTTCATAAGGAATGATGTACTTATCACTGTGTGGACATGTCATCCTGGGTCTCTAAGTACTAGATAATCTCCATGAGTGCATCTACCTCATTCTGTCTTTCCCATGGAGGGACACCCAGGTTTTCTCCAACTCCCTGTCACCACAAACTACACTACCTTGAGCATTCTTATACATGTCCCCTTATAGACTTTGTGAAAATACATTGAGATCTGTAGCCTAGAGCAGAAGAGCTGGGTCACAATGTGTACACTTAATTGGACCAAGTGGAGCCAAGGTCTTCTCCAAAATATCTGAGCCTCAGCCATGTCCCTCTGCCTAACCAGTTTCCTAATGTGTGCCAGCCTAACAGATATGTTACATCTCTTTGTGGTTTTCATTGTAATTTATTTGACTGCCTAATATTTTGTGCATCTTGTCATATGCTCATTAGCCTTTGGGCTTCCTATTACATAAATTGCCTGTTCATTTTCTTTGCCCATATTTCTCCTGGGAATGCTCTTTCTTGTTTATATAAGGAGTTCCTTATCTTCTAAATATCAATCCTTTAACTCTTTGAGATATTGTAAATAATTTCTTCCCATTCTTGCCTCGTGGTTTATCCTTTTGAAGTGCTAAGTCGTTTTTCTTCACCTTCAAGATCAAAAAGATAGTCCTTTAGGTTGCCTTTATTTTTTACCTTTAAAAGTCTGCCTTTTGGATTTAGGTCTTTCGCACATCTCTTATCTGCCATGGAAACAAATCAGCATATATTTATAGGTAGAGTGCCTGACACAGAGCCTGTCCCCCAAAGACATTTGCAATGATGGGGATTGTTGTCACGTGGGTAGAGTGGGGTACTGCCATCCTATATGTTAATATAGGATACATAGACATCCTATGTGTAAATCTACATATAACGGAGCTCAGAAGCTGTTTCACTCGATCGGGAAAGGTTTCAGGACAGAAGGGAAATGACTGAGGTTGTCCCTATGAAGGAACATGGGATTCTTTCATTTTGAAAGGAAAGGCGTCAGTGGCTTGGGGAAACTGCGGGGAACCGGAAAGGCGCGGGCTGGCACTGCTTAGGGGGAGGTAGGAGGAGAGAGCTGAATACTCACCAGCTGCTGTCTGTTTCTGCCCGCGCCCTCCCCACCCCTTCCCGCTGCAGGCTCCCTGTTCTCCACCCTGAAGCCCCCCGACGCCGTGTTCAAGGTGGTGTTCTGGCTGGGCTACTTCAACAGCTGCCTCAACCCCATCATCTACCCGTGCTCCAGCAAGGAGTTCAAGCGCGCCTTCGTGCGCATCCTCGGGTGCCAGTGCCGCGGCCGCCGCCGCCGCCGTCGCCGTCGCCGCCTGGGCGGCTGCGCCTACACCTACCGGCCGTGGACGCGCGGCGGCTCGCTGGAGCGCTCGCAGTCGCGCAAGGACTCGCTGGACGACAGCGGCAGCTGCCTGAGCGGCAGCCAGCGGACCCTACCCTCGGCGTCGCCGAGCCCGGGCTACCTGGGCCGCGGCGCGCCACCGGCCGTCGAGCTGTACGCCTTCCCCGAGTGGAAGGCGCCCGGCGCCCTCCTGAGCCTGCCCGAGCCGCCCGGCCGCCGCGGCCGCCAAGACTCGGGCCCGCTCTTCACCTTCAAGCTGCTGGCGGAGCCCGAGAGCCCCGGGACCGACGGGGACGCCATCGGGGGCTGCGAGGCCGAGGCCGACGTGGCCAACGGGCAGCCGGGCTTCAAAAGCAACATGCCCCTGGCGCCCGGGCAGTTCTAGGCCCCGGCACAGCTTCCTTTCCCGGGGAGGAGCCACCGTGGGGGGAGGGCGGGCGGAGGGCGGGAGGGGAGTGTCAGCGCCGGGGGACAGGGCCCGAGGGAGCGGGGGAGGGGGGCGGGAGAGGGGCAGCTGCTTTTCTGGCAGGGGCATGGGTGCCAGGTACAGCGCCACGAGCTGGGCCGAGCATGCTGAGAGCCTGGGGGACCCGACGCCGGCCGGGATTTACGTCTCTCTCTCTCTCTCTCTCTCTCTTCTCTCTGTATATATATAAACGAGTCTCTCTCTTCATGTATTTAACTGTGGGTACACGTGCGTGTGTCTGTGCGGTGTACGTGTGGTCTGCATGTGTGCGTGTGTTGGGGGCCCGCCCTCGCGGGCAGAGCGGGTGTGCGCCCCGGAGACAGCCAGCCAGGGTGCTGTTTGTCTCGTGACTTCGTACCTCTTAAGCCCCTCCTTGTTCTTCACTGAATGATGGCACTTTGATGGGGTTGGAAACAAAGTCAGACATTAAAGATCATTTCTCCTGTGCGCCTTTGAGTACTTTGTGACAAGCGGAGCTTTGGGGTTTCTGTTTCCTTCCTTCCCCTTCAGGTCAGAATGGATTCTGGGTTTTGGACGTGGGCCCTCTCATGGGTCTGTGGACAATAGTTTTGCTAGATCCCCTTGGTCCCAATTTCTATTTTGCCACAACTGCCTTCCAGCAATATATAGTAGTCCCATCCAGAGAGAACACACAAAGGCCATGAATCTGGACCCCTGTTAGCCCTGCAAATACAACTTCAATGGAGACCAGACCCAGCCCTSCGGGAACCCATTCTCACTGAGAGGTAAGAAGGTCGAGTTATCCAATTCAAGAGGGACAAGGACTAGGGTGGTCTGCCACCCTTCCCTTGTCCAGACCATCAAGCTCCACCTCCCTTTGGAGGGGATGGGAAGGGATGGTGGAATGCTCTGGGCTCTTGGAAGGGGACTTGCCCCAAGTCCCCTTGGATTTGGAAGAATTTGCATCTTCCCAGTTTCCCATCCTATACATGGACCTATCCTTTGAAATTCAAAAGCCAGGAATTTGACACTTTTTGTCTGACTTCCCAGTGGGCACTTACTTCCAGCTGGTTTGGCTGGAGTCTGAGGCCCACCACCACCACCACCACCACCAGTTAGTTCACTAAAGTGTGGGTGGAAGGGAGCACAGGTGCAATTGGTTCCCAGCCCCTCTCTGACCTCACCAGACACACTGGCCTGTTTGCTTTTCTTCAAATGGGGGATAGCCTGGCTCCCCCCTCGGGGCCTTTGGGCTTGCTGTTCCATCTGCCTAGAGCCCCTTTCTCCCTCACATCTTTCACCTCTCTCCTCAAGTGTCACCGTCTCAGAGATCACCTGGCTTGACTTCCCCATTCCGGATGCCACCCAGCACTCCCTACCGTCCTCTCCACTTTCCTTTTCTCCATAGAACTAATCACCACCTGGCATACCCTTTTGAAGATATTTACGTGTGTGGTCTATCTCCCCACACATGCTGGAAATGTGCRTTCCCTGAGGGTAGAGATTTCTGCCCGTTCTGCTCAGTTTTATTCTCAGCACTTAAAGCAGTCCCTGACACATAGTAGGTACTCAATAAATATTTTCAAATGAATGCGCATGTAGTTTCCTGCCATGACTGTGGAAACAGTGATTACACAGAGTGCTATAGGAACACATGCAGGGGGTCTTCCGTCTGACTTAGTGGAGGTGGAGGACAGTTCTGATGAGGAGGAAAGACATTTGAAGAATTTCATCTGGGCCCTTGCTGCTGAACCACACTGGTGTTTCCAGATCAGTGCTCTTTCCCTTGTCCCTCTGCAAAGGTAGGAGTATGAGGCCAAGCCTCTGGTCCTGGTTTGGCCTCTAAGTCCCTGCCCCTCTCCAGGCTACTGTCTGTCCTGGGCCAGACACAGCCTTGAAACTCTGCAAGTCTTGACTTCCTATTCTCTCCTCAATGCACAATCCTCAGAGGCAAGCTATTTGAGGAAGAAAACCTCATTGGGATTAGCAAAGACAAAAGGCATTGGCCCTGCTGATGGCCTCATTCAGACTGTGTCTTCAAGAGAGGCATCCAAATCTGCCAGCAACCAAAGAAAAGTGCTGAAACCTAGGGACCGTCCTCTCCTATAGTGTTACCTGCAGGTGTCACCCCATCAAATGCCACCTGAAACCCAGCAGCCACTGACACATGTATAGTGCCTCACTCACTCATTTGTTCTTTCATTCATTCAACAACTATCTTCAATCACCTTGATCTCCTTTGTGATCCCACTGTTTCAAAGGAGAATAAAAGCTAGTTTTTGCTCTCATGACAGTTTCAGTCTGAAAGGAGAGATAGGACTGTCACTCAAAAAAAAAAAAAACATCTTTTTAAAAACTGTGCACAAAGTAGAAAAAAAGTTTATGTAACACGGGTTAAGCATTAGAACCACAGAGTCAGAACTGGGTGAGAGTCATGATTCTTCCATTTACTAGTTGTGTCTTTTGGGGCAAGTGACTAACTGAGGGTCAGTTTCCTGCTTTCTGAAGTAGGAGTAGTTATACCCGTCTTAGAGGGTTGTTAGGAAGATCAGTTATGGTAGGGCATTGTGACATCCGTAGCATAGTGCCGGGCACATGGTAATTGGTCAGTGAACAGCTATTGCTATTACTAAGTGCCATTGGAGTAGGGCTTTGGGAATTCAAGGTTTCGTATCCATCTGCACAGAATCAGAACAGACTTGTGGAGGAGATGGCATCCCAGCAGGGTCTGAAGGATTTGGTAGAGCAGATGTGGGCAAGAGACAGAAGCAGAGGAAACAGAGGGAAATGGAGCTGGGGAAGGAAGCCAGAGGAGGTCAAGGCCTCCCTAGGAGCCACACCAATGTACATGGAGCTGCCTAAGATCTGCAAATAGAAAAGGGAAGACAACCAAATTGTGTTTCACAGGGATTACTGGGTAGCAGAAGAGAGTGACAGGAGAAGGGACTCCAGGCTGGAGTGGGTTGGTGGGGGGTGCTTGTCCGAGGCCATGATGACAGGCCAGAAATGAAGATCTGAACAAGGAGGATCTAGAGAAAGTGAGAGGTAACAGCGTAGGTGTCCAGAGGACTTAACCAAGCAGTTCCATGTCCACGGTGCTGCCTCATCACCATTTTCTTATGATAAGCTGGGCAGGTACTAGAATCTCTGAGACTGTAGAAAATTTCTTTCCCAGGTCACCAAGCTAGTAAAGGGCTTGAATAAGACTCTACACTGCCTGGCCCCAACYCAGAATTTTTTCCCTCTTACTAGATTGTTATGTGACTGATAGATTCCAATGTCCAGAAGATATCAGGGGAAAGTAGCAGGACAGCCTGGTCACTAAGGAGTGGGACTTGGGGGTCAGACAGAGCTCAGTTCAAACTCCTATTCTGCTACTCACCAGCTGTGTGGTCCCAGAAAAGAGTTCTAGCCTCCCTGTGCCTCAGTTTCCTCATTGATAAAACTGATACAATAGTAGAATCTTCTTCACACAATCACTGTGAGGAAGATATGATCCAATGTGGGCACAGAAAGGCTGGAAATATAAGAAATGATCGGCCAATGATCAATGGTATTGGAAATAGCTCAGCATGATCTACTTGGAGAAGACAGGAAAAATCAAGAGTCCTAGGGCGTTTTGTGATTGTTTTTGGTTTTCGGTTTTGAGAGATGTTTCCAGCTAACTGGTGGGTCAGAGAAAGTACTGGGTACAATCTTGGGAAAGGCTCCCTCCTCAAAGGACTTTGAATCATTGAAGTAGATACAGTGCTGCTTCTGGGTCTTAGTGACAAAGTCTAATCCTGCATTGGAAACAGGAGGATTCTGCTTGGAACAAAGCAGGACTTGAACACAGTGAGACCCAAAGGGAAGATAATTCTATCTAGCCCTTGAGTCTCTGAGGCTTTGGGAGGGCTGGGGCTAACCCTGAAGGAAGAAGAGAGCTCACAGATGCACCAGGAACAAGAGCYGCAGAAGCCACTCTTATGGTTACTTTTAATGAAACTTGCAGGAAGCAGTTATTAGGGAGGTAGTGGGAGAAAAGGAACCCGCAGGGGCTCACAGAACAATTGGGGAAGACTTTTAAAGAGAATCTGAGGTTTAACAGATGAGGACTACTAGACAGGAAATACTGATTAGTCAGTTCAGGTGGCCTAATTTGCACCCCTGGCTGCTAGGACTAGAGTCAATTGGGAACAAACTTTTTTCTTTTTGTCAGGGATTGAACTCAGGGGCGGGCAAGCGGAGCCACATCCCCAGAACTTTTTATTTTTTATTTAGAGATAGGGTCTAAGTTGCTTAGGGCCTCACTAAGTTGCTAAGGCTGACTTTGACCTTGCGATCCTCCTGCCTCAGCCTCCCAAGCAGCTGYGTGGAAGGAATTTTATCTGAACTGCCACTTTGGGGTTACTGAGAGCTGGGGCTGTGGTTCTCAAACCCAGAGAATAGAAGGATCATTCAGGGAGCTTATTAAAAATATTGAGGTTGTCACCACCCTCAGCCCCTTCCATCTGTTTTAGCAGATGGAAGACCCAGTAATCTGAATTTTTAGGGAATGTTGCAATTGGTCCATGAACCAGACTTTGAGAAGCAATGTTCTCCAACACACATGCCAAAGGGAAAGGACTAGTTTTCATGACCCCCTATCTATCCCCCATCCCTGGGTGGCTTACAACACCTACTGTCTTCTGGGACTGACTTTGCCAAACACTAAATTGGAAGGGTACTCCTCTCTCCCCAAGCCCATAGGCTGTCTCCAGGTTTTAACTTTTACCTAACCTCTGCCTTAAAGCTTCAGAGAKCCTAAAATGGCTTCAGAGAAATTCAGCCTCTCCTCTGGCCCTGTCGATGGACATCCACACCTGTGCCCAAGGCCAGGAAAGAGCCACAGCCTCCCCTGAGGACTACAGAGATGGCCCTGGGGAGCTGTTTCCAGAAACCAAACCGCAATTGCTTTCATAGCTTGGAAGTCATCGGAAAGGTTTCATCTTCCCTCTTTGGAAACTCATAAATATTTCCTTCGGGTTTTTGAGTTTTCTGCTATTGCCCAGAGCCCTGCTCCCAGGCCCCGGGCGAGGCCGCAGGGCGCGCCCAGGTGCGCGGGTTTCTGCTGCGGSCTCAGCACCAGGCGCTGCGGCGTCTCCAGCTGCGTACCGCAAAGAAGGCGAAGCCTCCTGAGCTGCTTCTCGCCCCCTGAACAGGGCATCCTTTTTCCGTACGTGCAGAGACTGAGAAACAGTTCTGTAGACACTGCAGTGACCGAGACCGCTCCACGCCGCTTTCCCAAATGCAGGTGCTGCGAATCCGACCAGCTTGGCGCTGAGGCGGACGCGGGCGCCACCTGCTGTCCAAAGCGACTAAGCGACGTGAATGTAAAGAAGTGAAGTTGCTTTGCAATTCAGCCTGGGCGACTCAGCCGGGTTTTCCCTGGTCCCTCGCTGGAATTTCAGCGGCAGCTGAATATTCTGGAATTTTTTACAGTAAGGATGCTTAACCAGGGGTCTG